CTTTCTGAATGCTCTTACTGACCCTTCCCTTGTGATCCACAAAATACTTTGTCAGCACGAACTCTTGTAGTATTGCTTGTTTTTGTAGGTCACTCCTAGTTGATAAATACTCACAATTTGCCCGGTTCTCACAGCTGACTGAATGCAAAACTTTGTCCACTTTGCTGATGAGGGGCCAAAGGGCCCCTCCAAGGAAATATTATCTCTTTGGTTTCTGTTGCTGGGTGAAGGCAAAGCCCTCTTGTCTCGAGAAAATAAAGCTTTACCAATAGGCAGGGGCTCTGCAGTAGCTGACCACAGGAACCGCATCTCAGTGCAAATTCATTACTGCCTGCATGACCTACATTTTAATTAGCCCCAAACAAATCCTTTCTGAGCCTGCTTCCCTCACTACCCAGAACACCATGGCTGACTTCATCTGGATTTTTATGGGGTTAAAGCTCTACCAAACATTACTGCGTTTTGGCAACCCTTAGAGACCAGCAGCAGGCATTGCTTTCATCTCCAGATAAAGAGATTTAACCTTCAAGCTGAGGGCGTTCGATGGCTGAGACGCTTTTATAGCTTCAACCACATTCACAGGTTAGGAGTTTGCAGCTCTGGAAAGGTGTTACATCTTCACCATGAGGGCCAGGCTCTGCAGCAAAGGGGATGATGCTCTCAGTGCATTTGTGAAGCAGCAGCAGTGGTGGTGCAAAGTAAATGAGAATGCCACAATGGTGAACAGAAACAAGTGATCCAGTGGAAGGCATGACAGCGATTGCAAATGACAGTGCCAAGAGCCATACTTACCCTCCCGCCGCAGTTTGTCTTATGAGTAAAATGTGAAGGAGGAGAAAAAGGAAAATTACGTTTTATTAAAGCATAATTACACCCTCCACAAAGCTGAGGAGACGAGGAGACAAGAGGGACTGAAGTCCAATTGGAAATGTCAACCTTTCTGAGTCAACAAGCTCAGAAATCCTTTCAAACAGTGAAGGTAAAGTCTCACTGAGCTTCGCCACCTTTAAGACAGAGCAAATTATACCATAGAAAAAAACCCCAACACCTCATGTGACTGGGTATCCCCTACCCACATGGTAGCCACACAGTACCTTGGCTTTGCAAAACTGCCATCAATATTTATCACATTTGACACAGATCTACTCTTCCTAGTGCCACCACCCTCAGAAGGTGAGATCTAAAGCTGGATTCCTGAGTCTCCAACAGCACATGTGTAGACAGAGGTGGTTTACGTGCCTCTCTATCAAGCTATGCACTCTATGTCATTTTGAGAGTGTCATTCTGATTTTGAGATTGCATTAATTGCTGTGTTGCACCCAGGATTGTGGGCTAGCTCTCCAAAGCCATTAGTAGTGAGGAGCAATCAAGGCACAGCAACCTGGAACCTCTATGATGCAAATCCCTTTGTGGGATGTGGCCATCCCTTGTGCACGCAGTAGCTCTGTAGGACACATGGCACTGTCACCATCGGACCCAAAGAACTCACAGAGAAACCACGTGGTTACTGAGTCACTCCAGCCCAAATCACCACCCGCACTCACCTCCAGGTTAGCAGCTGCCCTTTGCATTAGCCCTTATTAGTATGATGCTGCCAAACAACTCTGTGCCCGGTGCTCGTTTGTGTTCGTAATCTCCCTGGATGCCTGTGAATAGCTTGCTGAGGGAGGTCAGAGGCAGAGCTTTACTGAAGGAGCTGGTTTTATTCACGGGCAATCTGTTATTGCGCATATGGAATCTTAACTGAGGACCTCTGTTCACTTAGAATCGTAGAATCATTTTGTTTGGAAAAGACCTTCAAGATCATCAGGTCCAACCATTATCCTGACACTACCAAGCCCACCACTAAACCATGTCCCTAAGCACCACATCTACACGTCTTTTGAACACCTCCAGGGATGGCGACTCCTCCACCTCCCTGGGCAGCCTGTTCCAATGTCGAGCCACTCTTTCAGTAAAGAAAGTCTTCCTAATATCCAATCTAAATCTCCCCTGGCACAGCTTGAGGGCATTACCTCCTCTCCTGTCATTAGTTACTTAGGAGAAGAGACCAACACCAACCTCACTACAACTTCCTTTTAGGTAGCTGTAGAGAGCAATAAGGTCTCTCCTCAGCCTCCTCCAGGCTAAACAATCCCAGTTCACTCAGGCGTTCCTCATAAGACATATTTTCCAGACCCCTCACCAGCTTCGTCATCCTTCTCTGGACCCACTCCAGGACCTCAATGTCTTTCCTACACTGTGGCACCCAAAACTGGACACAGTACTCAAGGTGTTGACTCACCAGTGCTGAGTACAGGGGCACGATCACCTCCCTACTCCTGCTGGCCACATTATTTCGGATAACAGACAAAAAAAAATACAGGCCAGGATGCTGTTGGCCTTCTTGGCCACCTGGGCACACTGCTGGCTCATGTTCAGCTGGCTGTTGACCAGCACCCCCAGGTCCTTTTCCACCAGGCAGCTTTCCAGCCACTCATCCCCAAGCCATAGTAAGCCTTAGTAAGGCAACAGGTGCTTGCCTGATTACATAGGGATCCTGGGAGACATACATGGACACCACTGAAAAAATATCCAACATGATCCCAACTTTCCCAGAGAGCAAAAGAGAGCTGTGGGAATCCCCTTGGTACCACTGCAGGGTGCCCACAAACAGGAGAAAGAGAGGAAATGCTCCATGGATAAATACACGTTCCCTGAAGGAGCCAATCAGCTACAAATTATTGGCTATCTGTACTTCCTGGGTGGCATTCAGGTTGCTTGAATTTAGCTGTCCACAGGAGCACCACATCTAACCTTGAAGATGGCATGCTCTGGGCTGGAGGATGTTGAACTGTAGACCTTCAACCTGAACCTTCTTTCCAATATAAACTCTTCTACAATACCCAAGCTCCATCCAACTCTAAAGCAATCAGCTCATCCAACAAGCACCTATGTTTGCACAGGTGAAATGCAGTCTTGGCTCTGTTGGCTTTTTTGACATCTCTGGTGCTTGCCTTGGGTGCTTAGTGCACACGGAGACATCAACTCAAGTATGAATTTGGCCTGCTAACTTTTGCTAGTTTAACATCATAAACATCTGTGGCTCCCAGAAGAGAGCTCCAGGGAGTAATTCAGTTCATCTAATGTGTGAATAATTTTATGGTCATGCCTTTTCCTCCAAACTGATAACACAAGGGAACTAGGGATCATGCACAACAAATAAGGTGCCTGTGTGAGAGATGAATCTAGGCGTCTCTATTCTCCCCCAAACTTTGGGGACTTAGGGGTGCCTTTTCAGCAGCCATGTCCCCTTCCTCTGGAGAAGAGACAGATACCTTCCAGAGTTGGGCATAGAGAGATGTTGACTATATGAACAGCCCATGTAACAGAATGGTGTGTTCTCCATCACTGCCCAGCTCTAGCCCAAAACCATCCTTTCAAAATGCACTGGACATCAAGCAGAACGAGCAGACTCAATAGATAAAATCCTGGATATGGTCTGTTAGCTTATGCTGCCTGGGAAGTCTGACTGTATTGCAATTCCCTCTGGACGGAAAATCTAGTTTCTGGAGCTTTTGAAAAACTAGATTACCGGGTGACTTTGAAAAGGACTTCAAAGGCACAGCAGGCACCTACCTGAGTGTCTGAAAACTGTAGGATTTGAGAGCAATGCCAAATTTTTCATATTTGCGTAGGCTGTTTGAGTACATTAACTAGTGGCAAACAGACACATGCACGCCACACTTCTGCCCCAAGACTGTGCACCAGACTGCACAGCATATAGCACACTGATAAAACCAGCACAGAGACTCGAATGCTGACACTTGTCCTGCTGGGGAAGTGGCCTTTGCAATGCTATTGCAGAAAAGAGATGCAGTTCTGGCTGGTTCCCTGTAAAACCTTCAATTTCTGGATGTCTGGTTTGGTTAGCAAGGCTGCACTGGATCCACTGGGCATGACATGGCTGAGCTGACCTACGGAAGGACACCGCTGTCTCCAGAGATCAGCTGTCAGGATCCCAGGCAACCCAGAGCTAAGAAGTCATAAACACAGACAGGGGAGATACTTTAGATCTGTTCTGGTTGTTGCTAACTTCATGGTTGCTGCTCACTTCATGGTTGCCAGTTATTTCATGCATGCACCTCCTCATCCTTCCTCCACCCCTTGCACCTCCAGCAATTGCTGTCTTCACCCACTTGGGTTGGATGAGTTAATATTCAGAGGGAGAAGGCAGAAGGGCCACATCCAGCATGCAGTTTCCACAGGCTTTTGCTTCAGGATTACTACAGCATGCACATGGCCTGGGTTGAACTGGTTATTGTGTATGCAGAAACTTAATGCATGTCCCCAAAACTTCTACAGGGGCTACACAGCCAGGCAGCACAGACTTCGCTCACTGTCTAACTCATGGCGTCTTTCACTGGGGCATCCATAAACTCTGCAATATGTCTTCTACAGTGCAGAAACCCTCCACCACGTGGGTCCAGGTGGAGGTAGAAACCCAGATGCTCAGTTCAGTCAGGGTTTCCCCCACGTGTGTTCCCCAGAGCTAAGGAGAGCAGTGCAGAGCAAGAGGTGGAGGTTGGGAGGACACTCACATAGATGAGGTGCTCCCGATAGCGGATCAGCAGGTTCCTGAGGATTCCTGCCTCGTTCAGGTCCCCCAGGCGGATCATGTCCTCCACTCCATGGATGGAGGTGGGGTGCATGGGCTTGATGTGGCTGGCGTTCTGTGGTGAAATCCAGTGCTCCTAGTAAGAGAGAAGATAAGTCAAATGAGATACCACTGGGATGAGGGACAGAAACATCCCATCCCAGACAGAAGGACCAAATGGAAGAACATACATGGGAGAGCACTAGCACACAGCCTACAGCTTCTATCCCTGGGGCATGCAATGACTAACTTGAAAGATTCGTAGCAGAAGACGGAAAACATCTTTTGCTTTGCTGTAGCAGCAAGAGACATGAGACATGAGCCAGCCTGGCAGGAGCATCACCCAGGGCAGCACGGACATCCAGCACATCAGGGGAGTTTTTAACAAATAGCAGATTTGTTCTTCCCTTCACACAACTACATTTTCACATCATGGGTTAACCCTCTGCCACAAAATACTGTTGAGCAGAAAAAAGATTATTTAGAAAAAGAGAGAGGGTTGCACAGGGGTGGCAAAATCACACTTTTACTGGCAGAGTGCTGTTTAGGCTGATCACTTCTAAAGGGCTTCAAAAGCCACTACAAATTGCACACAAGGACCTCGCTGAACCAAGTCTCTTTCTATCATCCTTGAAGGGAATGAGAGCATTTACAATTATCTCAGGCTGGAAAAAAAGTTATAAAGGACGGACAATCTCCTCAGATCACCCTCTGCTTGTGATATAGATGTTACCCTAAAACAGCCACCACTACGCAGAACTGGAGTTGGGAAATTGAAGGAGAACCAGGGTTTGGGCACACCCTGTATTGGCAGGACATCAGGAAGGGCTGGATAACAGTAGAGGAACAGCAGGTCGAGGTGGGTTTGCTCAAAGCACTACCTAAATGTACTTTGGAGGTTTCTATTATCACTGTACTGAAGAAGCTTCTCAATCTTTCACTCCCAGTACAACCACAAGAGTAGGGACACAACATTGTCTTTACGAATAGAAAACTATGTCACAGTTGACTCCCGAGGACGTACGAGAAGTCTGATAAAGTCAGTCATGACTGCGCGACCCCTGGCCTAGCCAGGCCATAGAGCTGAAGAAGGGTCATCACAACCCTTTGTACGTACATTGCCTTCATCATCCACAACCTGGATCTGTCCCGAATCACACAGCTTAACCACCGCTCCAATGGGGACATCAAATTCCCGTCCAGTTTTGAGGTCCATCCACACATAATCCCCCTGGAACCAAAGAGAGGATAGTTAACACTCAGGGTGCAGAAGTTTCAGCATCCCTTGGGGTAGAAGTTGCTGATGTTTTGTACCCAATGATGTTTGTACAAGTGAAGTGACTCCCGTTGCAAACCACAAACCATCCCTTTTTCATAGATGCTCAGGAAACCCCTTGCAAGGTAAGAGCAGCAGGGCATGCTCTATACAGCATAAACTACACCCACTGCACTATCTCTCTGTTTCATGAGCTCATGAGAGGTTGTCGTTTGCAGACTGCATCCAGCAAACAGATTACAGAGCAGTGATATAGCCAGAAAAACCCACCCAGGAAGAGGTTTCCCTCTGTGCAATGTACAAGCCTAGAAAGTCACGCTTAGGAGATGATTTTGAGCTCTGGAAAGCCTTGTCTGGAAGCTTGTGGCACATATTTTCCTTGCAGATAACCACTATGAAACACACATTCCCCTGCCTTGGAGAATGGTGAAAAGGGGATGACTAAAGAAGGGTTAAGAACATACCAGAGGGATATATATATATATATATGTATACAATTCTTTGGGAAATGTCCCAGCTACAGCAACTTGTAGGTGGGCTGTTTGCATTCAATACTTCTCAGTGGATTTTATCTATGTCCTTTCGCGTGTTTCAAATGTGTCACCTCCTTCATTTGAGACCTCTTTGTTTTTGTTTTGGAAGACACAGTGAGCAGTTGACCCCTATCCACTCACTCCATGTCACTGGTGATCCTGTAGACCTCTTGTCAGTCCTGCTGGGCAGGGACTATCTGCTCATCAGCTCTGGGGATATTAAATTACTCAAATGCAAACAGGCTTTAAAAGAAACTCTTTCCAAAACCTCAGTACAAAGGTAAACCCAAAATAACCCCAAACCAAACTATCAAGCAGGACCCACACTCTACGAAACAAGGCAGAATTATTTCCCACTCCTATTTTCAATGCTAAAATTGGGATCCACCTCGTTAAATTACTGTTCAGGCTTGTTTGCATCAAGGAAGAAAATGTACTTTTTCATGCACCTGAGGTTCATGTTGTGAACTTGTAGCCCCACCTAATGCCACATTCCTGGGGGCCAGCTCCACTTGTACCTACTAAGCACAATGCGAAAGCAGTTATCTACATTTTGAAGTCCTGAAAAACTGCTGGGAGAAGGGAAAGTGAAAAAAAAACCCGAGGGATCACTTTGCATGCGCTCTGATATAACCCATTTCCTGAGCATCCACTATCGACCAGTTCTGTGGAGAGTATTTATAGATTTGGTTTGACCTGATGGGCCGCTGAACAACCTTCAGCTCCACTCTGGGCGGTGGGAACTGGAGACATCCAGCAATATAAAACATGGTGAAACTTTCACCATCCAAGTCACTGCTTACCAGGACTCCCGAGAGACACTAACCTGTGGGTGCCACAGAAACGGCTACACCTAGGGACTGACATGTGGAGAAACACAACACACAAGGAGTCCCCAGCCATTTTGTGGTAGATTCCACCCTTGGCAGCTGCTTGCTAGGTTTCACCTAGGATATCAACAGTCATCCTGCTTGCATGGAGCTGAGGATACAGCCCTTAGTTAGGGTTTGCATTTCTTCAGCGGGTTGTGCTACAGCACCGTTAAAAGTATCCTTACCCAGCTCATAAAAAATCAATATTCAGATGTTTTTCTCATTAACTGCCTTACCATCACATCTCCTAACTCAGTTAAAGAGGAAAAAAACTGACTAATGAATGCAGTACGTCATGCACAGATACATTATAAATCCATTTATATTAATATTTATTTCTTAGCTCCTTTGATCCAAGACTCTCAAAGCATTTCAGAATGTTCAGCACTGTTATCCTCCCTGCATAGCTGGGAGAATTCATGCACAAGGTGGGTAACTTGATCAAGGTGTCAGCAAGAGAAAAGCCAGGTTGCTCAGTCCCTGCTCAGCAGAAAGCTCTTCTGGTACCTCAGCAGCTGTGTAAAAATTGCTCTTGATCAAAAAAACCAAGAATTGTAATGCTGGGGGGGGTGTTTAAATCTCTAATTTTGAATAGCTGTAAAAGCAGCCTGCTTTGTATGTTCTGTTATCACACAGCTGAGATAAAGAGGCAGTCTGCTCTCCTCCAGGTAAATTGATACTGTACTACCACTAAGACAACTCCTGTGCTTTGCCTGCCTAACACACAGAGTGCTCATCCCCTCAAAATGCTCTTTCTAAACACATTGAAGTGCAGTTCTTAATACTGGTGAAAAAAGCAAGTCTTATGGGATGGGCTAAGCTGGTAAGCTCAGAAAGGTCTGGGGGTTTAAAAAATAACATCACTTATTAAGAATGCTGACCTATTTCCTTCCCTGACTTTAATCAATCTGACATAAAACCCATGGAAGTCAGTTACACTCCTTCCGCTGATGCAATCACCTTCGGATCAGCCCCAAAAGCAGCAGATATATTGGGGATTTCAGGGCAAATCGAGGTGATTCATGCATTTGCCAGCTTGGGCAAACTGTGTTATAAGTTGCATAACCCGCCTCACGCCGGGGCTGATGCAGTTTAATTTCTAGCACACATGACAGAGTACTGGAAAAGTGAGAATACCACCAGTCACTTTGCAGTATCAACATGGTCTAACTCTTCCTCATCAACACAGTTACTGGGTGCTAGTGTCCTTCCAAATGCTCTGGGGCAGACCCTCAGGAGCCCACAAGCTATGGGCAGTGACAATCAAACATCGGTACAAGAGGAGGAAACACAATTCGTGGAAAGAAAGGATCTTTAGGAGGAGCTTCCAAATGCAAAGAGCAAGAAAGCTGCACCACACGGGACTTACAGTGCTTGGGGGAGGGAACGAAGACTCAGGAGGAAGGTGAGAGAAGTTGGCACAAGCAGTATGAGGATCCCATCAAACAGCAAGACCAATTTCAAAGTAGCCTGTAAGGTCCCATCCATGGTCAGAGCTTGGGACCCTCTATCTTACCGCTAAAATTGTTGTGGGCTTCAGGGCCTGGTTAACGTTGCGGAGTAGTGTCCATTTGCCCTGGTCTTTCTCCTGATCTTCCACCACCTCAGGGCATGGTTGCCTGAAAACAACTTTCTTCCTCTTCAGCATCTTCAAAATCTTGCAGTGGTATTTGTCCCTCTCTCTGCTTTCTACATGTATTCCACCATGAATGCCAGGCAGCTGTGGCCAGTTTGCTTTAGACCTCCAGAGTGACCATGCCTGCTGCTTGCAGGACACCCTCTGTCCCGATTGACAATATGGCTCTTGGTAAAGATCTTCTCCTAGCAGAAAAATTTCCATGCACAAGCCATGGCCCTCCGCTGGCCAGCTCGATAGAACTGGTGCTGCAGGAGTCTCAAAGCAAACTGAACGACTTTGCTTCTCTTCACTTAAATTCTTCCAGTCTCTCCAGTAAGGGGTGATACTTGGTCGGAGACCTGAAGGACGCTGCAACCACTCGTTCTGGGAAAAGCAACTGCAGGATTAACAGGAAACCTCTTCATTTCCTTGTGACTTCTCTCCGTTACCTTCCTTTCTTAGTGAAATAAGCATCTGCCAGCTTGAGGACTTTCAGCACAGAACACACTCGGGTGCTTATTAATCCACAAATGCAGTCAGTCCCCATGCAACACATGGCATTTAATTAACCTAATACCTTTACATACCAAATTAACCAAAGCGCAGCGGGAACTCAAAACCAGAGGCCATCTGCATTTTCTTTAAACTGATCGCCTTGAGTAGATCCATAGCAACTGAATTTTAAATAATTGAGTGGAAGGTGTTCAGATCAGCAAGGCCTCTGCGCCTATAGGTGAGAGGAGCACTTGGGCTGTGGATGAAAATGTGCTGAACATGAGGATCACGGAGATAACGAGGTTGCACTGACTCTAGACCTGGCTTCTCTACGGACCCACTTCTGCAATCTCTCCTACTATGTAGGGGGGGGGTCTGTTCCTGTAGGACTGGTCAGGACTGCTGGCCCAACCAGAAGAGCATGAGATATTTTACAGTCACCTCAGATTTGCTTTTTCCTGTCCTACACTTGAGAGTTCTCATTTTCATCTAGGAAAGGCTTTTCTGCTCATTTAGAGAATTTAAGGCCACTCTAGCTGGACCCCAGTCTCTCCCATGGAAATTTTGATTCTAATTTGGCATCATTTGTATAGACCAGAGCAATGCATGACTAGACAGTGCTGCAGCTGCTAAGCTTTCCATGTCATCTCATTTATCACTATTTTAATGCAAAACTCTACCGATGCCTTGATTCCACGGGGTTTTGTCCATGATAAAGAGGGCATATTCTTGGTGGAAAGCTTTTTAGATGAAGGAAGGCTTTATAGGTCCCCTTGATGGGACACAGTCACCAAGGATAAGCATAGATGATGGGTACATGAAACTCATACTGAGCTGCTTCTGCTCATCAGTGAACAGCAGTCACAACAGTGAGGCAATCATTGCCCAGAGGGCAGATAACTTTGTAGGCTTAAGTGATATTACAAAGCCCTGAAACAGTAAGGTGTCTAATTCTTGTAGCTCGCAGATGAAGTAAGGAGGAAGTCAAGTCTCATGAATAAGAAGACAAGTGAGAGATTAATGAGATGGTTGTGTACCAAAGGAGCAAGCAAAAATGTACATGAGATGCAACAGAAATGCAGGGAGAAGGAGACATAGATCTCACGTAGCAATCTCATGGGAGATGTCTACCTCCAGCATGACCTGAACACACAGTGCTGTAAATTACTGCATTTTTGTTCCCCTAGAAAGTACAAGATAGATGTGCAATCAAAGCTAATAATCAATGAAAGGATACACATAGAAGGAAGGACTGAATAAATGTATATAAAGGGACCCATAAGATGGGCTCTTTGGATTAGAGCTGGTCCTACAGATGGTGTTTGCTCATCAGCACACCTCTCCTCACCGCCACACCGTGGTAACTGGAGCAGTGTGGGAGCAGCAGATCTGAGAAAGAGCAGCCGGTGTACTTATCTGACT